ATGTAGTTTTACCTTCTTCACTCGCTTTCCTAATAAAAGAGACACTGGTTTCCACTAACAGTCGAAAGGAATGATGGGAGATTACAGAACTGGTTCGCTGGGTCCCGATTCGATAACGGAATTGATATTATCGGAATCGAGAGTTGAAGATTCGAGTCTAGAATGTGATTTCGAACCGACCGGAACCGAGACTGCAAGCGATAGATAGCTTGTTCCCGATGGCGACGCGAGGCGAGGCGAGAGACGTTAGGCTCGCAGCGAAGTTATAACTGTACTGAAGGCTGCCTTCGGAATCTTTCCTTGAGCCCCCTCCCTGTCCCCCTCCCAGTGATAATGACCCCCATGAAAATTACAGAGTCCACCGGACTCCCTGATCCTGGACCCGCATGAGCTCCATTAAAATTACTGTTTCCTTTCCGTTCTTTTAACCCATTAGAATGGCAATTGTACGATTACAATTATTTTAAACAATCGAACTCTTTTGTCTACGCTGAGTCGTCCTATTTATACAATATTTATTAAAACTTTGATGGCCAAGATGGTCACCGGAAACCGTTTGAAAGATGGCGAAAAATTCAATTTCTTTTATCCTTTAATTTTTAATTTAATATAATATTTTTATAAATATTTTAATTGAGAAATCGCGAGATTACAAATTTAGTTTCGACTCGTTTTTGATTTATACAATTATCTGGAAAACTAAGAATTGAATTTTTTCACAAACTTTTACAAATAATTGCGAGACGCGTAATTAAGTTTTACAGCGGTGGTTGCGCAATACCGAGAGTGGCGTTGCGTTCCAGCGTCGTAAATTCCGAGCGAAAAGCACGAAGGTGGAAAGTGCTCGATTACGTGAACGGCCACGCTTTTGTTATTCCCCACGTTCCGTGGTCTCTGTTTGAAAATTCGTAATCGGCGATCGTCGCCGATTTGGCGCCACGTACGACACTCGGGGAGAGTAAACGGAATTCGAAAGAAGCGTCTGTTGGTTTTCCCTTTGTTGAATGCAAATTCAGGATCCTCTCTGTCTTGCAATCTTTAAACAATTTAACAATCTTCAAATGGTAATTTCTTCTTAATTAGTTGATTAAACAATTAATTCAAGGTGCTCTCTTTTCAGATCTGATTCCTGGAATTTATCTCTTGATCTTCATTGAAGTTGGGATGGATCACGTTTCTCCTGTGGATAGATCAGTAACAAGGGAAATTAAAATTTGGAAACTTGAAAAATAGAACTGAATGAAAAATTATTGGCAATACAGACCAATATGGAATCCTTGGATGAGTAGTTGCATCCAATGTATTTTTTGGGCCCACCTTTCTGGGACTTCAGGGCCCCATTATCATATTTGTGTCATTCTTACCAGGAGGCTATAGAAAACACTGGAGGAAATTACAGGAATTCTTTGTTCAGAGCTGGGCATCAAATGATTCATTTGGAATAATCGATTAATGGATACATTTGTAAATTTAGTCGTCGTTTCATAGAATATTTGGACTCCTATATCAGAAGATCCATCAACATGGTCTGTAGATTAATTAGAATTTTTGTTATAACATTACTTTGACGTTTTCACTAAGTAATGGTTTTAATAGATAACAGATTACTCGATGGTCAACAGTGGTCAGCTCATGGTCAAAAGAGAGGGTGATCTCAAGGTCAGCTGTCCAGTGAAGGGTCAGGAATAGCCAAAAAGTAGAACCAATCGAAATTGTCTTTTAAATTAGACGATCTTAACTGTTAACTTTGCCTTTGGCTTTGACCCTGAGTCTCCCCACCCTTCCATAATCGTAGATAAGGCTCGAGTGGCCTCGCTGATGCAGTCATCCTTCAGTCGCGTCGCGAATTCGGGAGTGTGCACATGGCCAGAGGGTACTACCGAGGGATGCTGACCACTGGTGACCTCTGCTGACCACTACTGACCAGAACTGACCACTACTGACCAGTGCTGCCCTCTACTGACCACTACTGACCAGAACTGACCACTACTGACCAGTGCCGGACCGCGATGACCAATGGTAAGAACTGTTCAAAAATCCTCTCCCCACTTCTATTTAATTGTTTCTTCTCAATTTTACTTGACTGAACTGCCTGAATACACCTATTACAATAGAAATGTTTCTTTGCTTTACAGATGACCCACTGGTAACTACCTATGTACAGACAGCAAGTAGTAAGTCCATTCATTTATATTATTAATACCAAATTTACCTTGTCGATTTTATTTGATCGATGTTAATTCAACTGTGTCTATCTATCCAATTTTATTTGACTACTATGAATGTTTCCTTGCTCAATTTTTGTTTCCCTTCATCTCTAAAATTTGTATCCTCCTTCAGCTAGGTCATCAATAATTTCTGTAATCATTTCTTACTTTACTTTCACATTATTTGGGGAATTTTTGTCTCTCATTGCGTCGGTATGGGCAGAATGGTTCAAACATTTCTATTTTGAAGTTATTTCCAAAATTCTCGTCTCTCATTGCACCGATATAACAATACTTAGTTCAAAAATTTCTACTTTGGGGCTATTTCGAAAATTCTTGTCTCTCCTCGCCTCCATACAAATAGAATACTCGTTTCGAAAATTTCTATTTCGACGTCGTTCCAAAAACTCTTACAATGTTTATCATGACTAATGAGGCTTCTATTTCTCTACATACGTTTCTTCATGTGTAACATTACATTCCCCCAATACATCATCTCAACATTCCACTGCTCAATACTCCATCAATTCCTCAGTATTCATTAAATTTCTCTAACAAGTTACTAATAAACCTGCCAATTTCTGTTCCAGTTTAACTCCAGATCAATCGCAAGGACATCGAGGGCTAGAACCTAGGGACATTTGATTCCAAGTCGATTAGATTTAAGCTCCAAGGTCGCGAATCTTAAAATTAACGTCGAAGACTTCTTCGTTGCTCGTACCTCCGCGTCGTACCAAGCAATTATTTAACAAGTAGCTTCTCTCTCGCTCGTTCCCCCCGTTCCTAGCTTCGATCACCGCTGTCTCGTCGATCGAGACATGTGATCGACCGTGTGGCTGGTCCTGGAAGATCCAACCGCCTTCCCATTGGTAGCTCGATCCAGGGAGAATGGTACTCTGCTGGAAGATGTGGAGCTTCCGTGTCCCGCGGAAGCGCACACCTTCCAGCGGAAGTCGACACTGTTTCAGGTACTCTCTCCATGTCAGACAGCTTGAGTCGGGTCCTTCGGGCTCCCGGCGGGTTGCTTTGGAGAAATGGAGACCTTCGATTCGGAGTCGCAGCCGTCCACTTTCCCGTAGAGATCGAGATAGCAAGGGCAGTAGGTTCGATCCGCGGATCATCTGCACGGTACAGCCATCGCGTCGCGTCGGGTCGCGTGTCCCACGATTTAGCTTCGTCCTCTTTGATAAAATAATTGCTTGGTACAATCGAATCGGAAGACAGAATGAACCTTGTTCTCTTCTATCTTCTGAATTTTGTTTCTCCCATCGGTCAGACTCGAGCTTCGACGTTGATTTTAAGTCCCTATCGTATCCACGCGACCTGCCAAGTAATTATTTAACGAGTAGCTTCTTTCGTCTCGTTCTCTCGTTTCTTGCTTCGATCACCGCTGTCTCATCCGTTGAAACACGTGATCGGCCGTCCAGTTCGTCCGAAAGATCCAGTCGCCTGCCAGTGATAGATCGATTGCTAGAAATAGAAATCAATCTACCAAAGGTAGTGTCGATTCGATCCAAAGATCCGCTGCACGGTTCAGCATCGCGTCGCGTTCACCCTCCTATTAGCTTCATCCCTCTTTTCAAAGGGAATAATCACTTGGCAGAAGTAAACTGGAAGATCGAAGGAACGTTTGGTTTCTTCTATCTCTCTGGTTTAGCAGTTCCTAGGAACAAGGGAGATCGATGGAACCTGGATTCCATCTATCTCCCTTCGGGTCTCCAGTCGCAGCAACCTCCTCGTGGTGAGACCTGGTAATCGGTGTTGCCCAGGATAGAAAAGTACTTCTAACGTGGGCACCACCGAGCTAATGGCTGCGAATTTAGAAGATATAATATGTCTAACTGTCTTAGTAGAACTTTGAGTTGTAGTTTCATCCCTGAAATTTGTTTTATTCAAGTTTTAATAAGGTGTTGTCAAGTACATAAGGTGTGAAGTCTAGTTGTATACCTCATCTGTTGTAATTCAGAGTCAATGGTTACTAATTCTCCAAATAAATTGTTCAAAACTCTTAATAGAACTTTGAATTGAAGTTTCACCCCCGAAATTTGTTTTATTAAAATTTTAATGAGGTGTAATCAAATATATAAGATGTAAGGTGTACTTCCATACCTCATCTGTTGTAATACAGAGTCAATGGTTACTAATTCTCCAGATAAATTATTCAAAACTCTTAGTAAAACTTTGAGTTGCAGTTTCACCCCTTAAATTTGTTTCATTAAAGTTTTAATAAGATGCAAGATCTACTTGCACACTTCATCTATTATAATTCAGAGCCAATGCCTACTAATTGTCCAGATAAATTATTAAAAAATGAATACTGCATATATTTGCAATATTTCACTTGTTATTTCATATAGTATAATAGATATATTTTTTCTCTTTTGTCCAGCGTTAAAAATCAGTATTTTATAGTAGGATTTTTCTCTAAGGGCAAAAATGTGTACACGCAGTATAGTGATTGCACAGAAGGGAAATGCATTCCGCGTGAATTCTGCTGCTAAGTCGATCCGTTAGTCTCCGAATGAATAATTCATTACAAGGGGGCTTGAATCATCAGCGCGAAGTATAATAAAACCCATTGCGAGTGAAAATCTCTTTTCTTTCGTAACAATTGCCACGACATTCATGTAATAAATATCCTTTACTACTTTTTACAACAACTATCAGAAATATTGGATCGAATAAGTGGAGGATGAGGACACAGTGTCGAAAAGAACATAAATCTATAAAAATATCTACGCTAAAGAGTGAAAATAACAATATCGAGATACAAACAATCAAAAATTAGGCTCGTTGGTTTATGGTGTATATATTATCGTAAATACAGTCGATATAAAACATCCTCGTGTGTTTCCGCACACAATAATCGTGTACATACAAACATGTTGCCTTATTATAATTAGATCGCGTATAAAAAACGGGTTATAGGATCAACTTACTCCTATTTCGCTTATTTTCGATTGTTTACTCCCATTCTCACCGAATACATGCTCCGAATTAATTCGATTCCCTTTCGAACAATCCTCTAAGTACTGATTCTACCTTATTTATTCCTGGTTCCTTTATTTCTGACATTCGAATGTCCCTAATCAATTTTATCGCGTAGTCTTTTAAACAAAATAATTTCCCACGAATCAATATCTAAAAAATTCTTTCAAATTTTCTTCTAAACACTCATATAATTATTAACTCGAATTATATTATTTTTAACTTGGAAAATATAATTTCAATTTTGTAATTTTTATACACACGCGATGAAATCTTTTTTTTTAATCGAGGAACCCAAACCCTTATTGTTTAGTATTACAAAAAAAAGAAATCTAGTTAGGCGATTTCTTTTACGTTTCTGTGAGCAAATTTCTGAACCCTGCTCGACCAGGGCGAAGGGGCGGTAGAAAACTATAAAAAACGGACAAACGTTCGTCGCCCTGGTCACACAGAATTCACCACTACCATAATTGGAACCCATTCTACTCACGATTAACGAATACAAAATTTTCAATCTGTCGCTGGAACCGAATTTTCGAAACTTAATTTTCTAGCGATTAAAATAAATTTTTTGTTCATCGTTCGCCGATGGTGAGTGAAATTAGGCCAACTTTTGGTTCCGAGAGGTCAGAAACATCCAACCGGGAATAGTTTATGAATTAGGCCCTCGATTCGCATGGCTACCAAGAAACAAACGTTTTATTCTAAACGGACAATCGCTTTTGTTCGGTTTTGGTATTTTGTCCGTTGAGCTGAATTAAAAATTAACAGTCGAAAATAAAATTGTACAGTTCTTGTTTTGTGCCAGCGTTCCTCAGCGTATTAATTTCTAAATCTAATACTAATCTACAGGATTCGTTTCAAACTCGTTTGCATCGTCGACAATAATAACAAAAATATAATAACTCAATTATCAATGCATTTACAATAAAATTCAATCTAAATACAATGCATTAGATTTGTACTTTTCTAAACAATTTTCTAATTTGCAACGAAACCCTAAAAATGTAATTTTCTCATGAAACACGTTTGCTTAAAATTATAAATTATTTTTTCTGTTTTTTCAACGATACAAACGAATCGAACGCTCGACCACCACATTTAGGTTGATTTTAATCACTATAATCGTTCACTAAGCTACAGGTGCACGTGATACCAAAACAATAATACCATCAGGATCATTATCTTTGGAATCGAAACTTGCCTTCGCCAGCAACACGCTTTTCTCTTCTTTTTTTCGATATTCGATCATCCTCAATATCAATTAGTATCGTTCAAGGACGTAGCCAGGTTACTATAAACAACGAAACTAATTTTTGAACGACTTCCTTTGCAAACAAGTAGCCAAAAGATATAAATAAAATTTAGCATCAAAGGAAAACGTGAACAGCAAGTGCATATTCGATTATTATTCAAAAAACTATACTGCTATGTCAAACAATACATAATTAAAAATTAAACTTTCACTATTTTTAAAGTAAAATTCTGTCTACATCCTTGGTTTCGTTCTGTCGGTGCTAGAAAAATGATTGTCTTGTAGAAAATACACAAAACGCAAAATATAGAGAGTCTTTCGATCACCGTATCGCGCGATACACGGATCATTCGCTTAATATAATACTTTCGCCTAACAGAGGACGCAAAAAGCGTCGCGTTTATTGTGCAAATTATCACATCACGGTTCAGTAGAAATGACAAAGAAAAAGAAACGCAATCTTCTTCTATCGTTGAGTAAACCTAATCTAAAAACGACTCCTCGCTGGTACAGAGCTCTGGGAAACGTGTGACCCAGCAACAATGTGGACTTTATTGATTTTCACTAATTAATTTTCAACCTGAAAACTGATTAAAAAGAATTATTCCAATTGAAAATGAATTTAGAAAAATTACTATTCCATCGTCTCTGAGCAGTTTCAAACTTCAATCAAGAACGTATTAAAGTTTGAAACGTGTCCCCCAGACGCACTAATTAAGACTACTCGACTCGTTATGAGGCAGAAAGCTACGCCAGCTCGAGAACTGTCTCCTGGTGCGACCAAGCCGCAGAATATTCTCTCTCTAGTTACCCTAAAATAATAAATAAATGAAGCTTCAATTCTTCTATCGATCCTAAACGCAAACGAAGGTTACTTTGTGACAAACTGGACACTTGTGGGGGCAAATCTTCTCTTCGATGTTTGTGACCCCAAAAAGTTATCCAGTTTGCCTAAGCTACTCAAAAGTTCACTCACAAATCTATTTACCCCCCCTTTTGGAGACCACACATCTCATCAACGTCCTCTCTTCGCCCCGCTGCATCCATCAGACCCAATTCCACCAAACCCACTCAAACGGCTGCAGTGTCGTCCGCGTTCCTCAGCATCGCAGCCGCCTTAACGACATCCCCAGCGCACTGGTTCAACATTACCTTGCAATCCTCCAGTCCAACAAAACTATTCTCCTTCTTCAACAATCCCTGCAGCCGCTCCAGCTTGAGGGCAGCCAGGACGTCCCAGTCGGTGACATTCAACGCAGCGATGCAGGACTCTGGGGTCGACTGCTCGTGCAACACCTTCATCATGATCCTCACTTCGTCCGACTGCTCCCCGTTTTGCGGTCCTCGAGTTCTCCGGGCGTTTGGCCCGTCGCAGGCGAACTCCAGGAGGTCCTCGCACGAAACGTGGTCAGACTGCCTCGACAGGTCGCTGGACAACCTGGTGCACGTCTTCGAGAGACCCTGGAAACCCTCCACGGCGGGGGAATCCTTCGTCTGAGTCGGTTCTTGCTGTTTGTTCGACTCCAGGGCATCGCTCTCTTGAGAACTCTTCAAGGAGCTCTTGGACTCCACGCTGACCTTCCTCTGGAAGCGATCCATAGAGTCTGTGGACTCCTTGGTAGCCTGGAGGGAGTCCGACGAGTCGCAATCGATGAGATTGTCGGAGAACTCGAGGAGGTCTTCGGAGATGACGCTGAAACGGTGGAGTCTGGTTTCATCTGAGGGAAGGGCGTCCAGGGCGGAGAGCTCCGAGTCTATGCGCTGCTCGAACTCTTCAGGACTGCAATTCCAAGAAGAATTAGTTAGATAATCGTGCCAGTTAAGCTTGTAGTCTTGTTCTACTTAAGAGTCTAAAACATTGAGAAGTTTGGATGGTGTTCTCACCTGTTCCCTGAACTCTCCGCCAAGTACCCTTCCTGCCCAGACGTCCCAGCGACCCCACAGGTCCTCTGGCTCCCATCAACCTGGTCCTCCACAGGCGCAGTGACCATCTTCGCCAAAGTCCTGGTGACTCCTCCCCCAGGAATAATCAGTGGATGTTTTCTCTGGTGTCTGGGCAAGCTGGACTTGGGCTGCAAGGTCTTGGACCTGTCCCTAGGTGGCAGGGGGATGGGATTCTCATCCACGTTGTTCTGATTCTGATTATTCTCAATCTCCAGCGAATGGTGTCTCTCCAAGTGCCTGGTGTGAGGCAGCGGGGGTGGAGGGGGCGCCCTGATCTTGGGCAGAGTCCTGGACCCGCTGTGGTACGCGTCGAAGTGGAAGGATTCCCCGGTAAAGTCCTCCTGGTGCCCAGAGAGCGAGGAATGTTTGTTCCCCCGGATTCTGGGCCTGACTATTGGCACGCCTGACCGCAGCATCCTGAGGGGGTTCGTGTCCTGGCCTCCGTCCACGCCTGGGGCCTCCACCAGGCTGTTGTACACCTCCTTCGCCTCGTCGGACAACGTGGCCTAAACAAGCGTGGGAGGGGATAGATTCCGGGAGAGAAGAGAACAGAAATTAAAGAAAAAAAAAGAACAAACTGGGGACGGGGTCCGTCAAACGCGAAGGATAATCGTCGTCGTCGATACTCTACGGGTCCACCGATCCCAAACCTCCTTCGAGTACAAACAGTAGAAACGTGTAAATGCATCCAAACCGTACAATAGAACTTTGTTCGCTAATTAGTGTAACCGTGCAACCATGCTAAGCACTTATGCCAACCGTGAATCGTTTGGGACGTCGCAGAGTCGGGCTTCGAGGCTTATGCCCCAACCTGAGAATGATTTCTGGAAGAATACTGCTTTTCAATTGCTTTTCCAATGAACCGGTGACTTTTCATGATCTTCCTAGGATTATAGATATCAGAAAACGTAGCAAAACCCAGAAGTTTCTTTTTAATAGCCATTTTAACATCAAAGCATCAAGTGGTAGGACTGAATTAGGCTTCCAACTCGTCATGCAATAGCCTAGCCTATAAATTCCCCAGCCCCATCCTCGAAACCCACTCAGAATCCATCCAAACCCCCTAAGCTCCCAAAGCTCTACGGCGCAGGGGACGGTGGAAATGTCAGAATGTCGTTGCTAAACTCCGGATACTCTGAACTACTGTCCGAGTCCAATTCCGAGTTGCTAGTGAACGTCAGGCTAGAGCTCGGGGCGCTCTCAGGCCACGAAAGCAAATTGTTCCTCGAAGAAAAGGGTGGAGACAAAGAATTCAAAAAACTAGTCGACGGAGGTGGTGATTTCCCACACAGCTCGATCGCGGAGAATCCTCTGGCTGACTCCGGATGGAGAAACTGTCCCTTATTCTTAAAATTCAGTCTCAGGTTCTGGGGAACCCTCTTGTTTCTTCGCTTATATCTTAATCTACTCCTAATATCCGTCTCCGAATGGGAAATCGAGTCGGAGTCTTCGCTGGAGTCGTTTACAGGATGAAAGGACCTCCTCACGTTCTTTGCGGTTGGTTTTCTGTTCTCAGACAGCGAAGAGGTCCTCTGACGATAGACGTTAGTAGTGGTAGTGGTGGTAGTGGTAGTCTTCTCTTGAAAAACTTCACTTTTGGTTACTTCCACCTTAGAGGTGTCGTTCTGGTAGAGCTTGGGGGGCTCCAAGATGTGTTGATGGACTCCGGGACTCGACGGAAGCTTCTGGCCCAGATTTAACTTTCTAAAATCCAAATTCCTCACGTTCGCCGCTGTTTCCGTGCTCCTGGAGTTCTGTGCTATGTTCTTGCCCAGCTGGAGCATGTTCTGGGTCAGTTTCCCGAGCCCCAGGTTCAATCCTTGCCCCTTCTTAGCGTCCAGGTAGCTCTTCACGGTCTCCAGGCCGGAAACCTCGCGCTGGTACTTCTCCGCCAGGAGTTTGCTGCTCGTTTCCGCGTCTGATTTCCGTCTGAGCCGCTGGAAGTTCACCCTGAGGCTCTCAGAGCTACTGTACACCGGGGACTCCTTCTTTTCGGACTCTGCGACGAACAGAGGATTGTTGGATATTAAAAAAGGGAAAATTTCATGCCCGTTTTGGTTCTGTTCCAATTTTCTGAAGCTCTGGACACTGATCCTCTCTATCCCGGACCTGGGGCAGGCCTTTATGCTGTCCGTGGACCCGTAGACGACGCTCTTGGACTCCTGCTTCGCCGTCCTGGGCGCAAAAGACACCCTGGACTTGGGCAACTCTATTTTCTTAGGGAATTCTGGTAGTGGAAGCTTTGGAGGATCGGCAGAAGGCTTTGGTCGGGGACTCAGGTGGTCCACGAATCTCTCCTCCTCGAAGTACCGGTCCACGTAGCTCGTGGACACCCTCTTCGGGTAGTCCAAGTGAATCCTGGTCCCGTTCTCCAGAAAATCAGTGGACTTTAAGCTCTGTTTTGTGGAAGTGTCGTCCAGGTCCATGTCTACGTAGGAGGTCCAGGCGCTGGGCTTCGTTAGAAGCTCCCTGGACTTAGCAAAGCAGAATTCCGCGGATGCTTTGTCCCAGAGAGGCAGTTTTAAGGTCGACGGAGCACCCAGGGACTCTATGCTGGAGACGGTGGATGACAGCGATTGCAAACTAGAGCACAGCCACTTCGGTAAGATTGTATAAGAAGCCACAGAGCATGCAGAGCGCAGAAGCAACATTGAACGGGAGAAGGAAGGCATTTCAGGAGGGGTACGTAGGGAATTACGTAACGACCAACACGGAACCAAAGGTTTGAGAGTCGAGAAACCAAAAAATAATAAACAGACGGGATAGGATCGGAGGAAAGTCGAGATTAGTCTTCTTCGTTAATTGATCTTGCGGGCGGATTAACAACTAGAGTTAGTATACCTACTCTTCGAAGTGGCAACAGGAATTAACTCTGTTCCATAACAGTTTCAAAATCACTCAAATCATGCTATCGTTTAAGCTACTGCACGGATGAAAATAATTGTTACGTTTGGGTTTCGGAGCAGTGGAAATTATGGATTTCATTTTCCAATACTCAACCGCCTTACAAATTTTCCTTTCGACGATTGAAAAATGAGATGCATTATTTACAAGTTCCTCCAACACCAACGGAGCAAATTACCTTCGATTCTTGCAAGTACAATTTAGCGAAACCATGTTAGTTATCAATGTTAAAACCATCACGAGTCAAATCAATATCAAAACACATTATTCGCCCCTTGTTCCAACGCAAACTTAAATCATCGGCGACTCTCATTCCCTGAGACTGAAAGTATACCAAAACCATGTTTAATTCCCCAAATCAAATTAGTTGTAACGTTTGCCAGTGTCCCAACAGTGTTAGTGTATCCCCCAGAACAATCCAAAAGAAAAAAAAAAAAAAAAAAATAAATGTACCTGTATGTCAGGTATACTGGCTGCTTCTTCGGAAAAGTGTCGTCTGTCTGGTTTAGGACTGTGTTGATGTGGCAACTTAAAAGAGAACTTTCTGCGCCTTGAAGGACTGGCAGGTGTTCGGGGAGACTCCGGTGGATGTTCGAGATCTGTCATGGAACGCGCTGTCAATTCCTGTGCCATTGCAATGGCCGAGTAGAGTGTTTTCTGATCGGCCGCTGAGATAGGCTTCACCTGAATACAAGAGAAATTTTTACCGTCTCTGCGTTGCGCCCTCAAACATTTCTGCATTATCCGACTTCGTTAGCTCGTGTACTCTTGCCTTCGACGCTACGTATTCTGGGTCGCTATTGCTTTTCGTCATGCGAAAACACACACACACAGATACCACAGCGGCTCAATAAACGAACAAAACGATTTACTTGTCGATACGTGTAAAGAAGCCATTAATAAATAAATAAAGATCACTGTACATTTATCGGACTCACGGTGGCTTGTTTCTTCTTCCCGCACTGCTTCGCCTGGATCTCCCTCAGCTCGTTCCTGGCGTTGCTGGATTCGTGTTCGCTGGCCAGGGGGTGGACTGGTGGCGGCGGAGGCGGGGACGACCCTAACAGATACGAACTTATAACACAACAACAAAGACAGTCTTGATCCGCAATAAGCAACTGTTTCCTGAACAAGTTGCTTATCTCGGAACAAAACTGTACAAACTCTGTTTGAACTCACCCAATGATCTGAACATCTGATCCATCTCAGCCAACAGACTGGGCCCAAAGTCGAAGTTCAAAGTCTTGTCGAATCTCAGCGGACTGTCCTGGTTTTCCTCGTCGCTGATTTCGTGGTACTCGTGGTCAGCGCCAAGGGTCTCCGACTGGCTCGAATTGGCCACCGCCTGGCACAGCTCCGAGCTGCTGTCCGACCATAAACTTTCTACAGGAAAATGCAATATCACCAAACGCTACGCGAATTCCATACACGCGGAACACTTACCATGCTTGTTCTGATCCTGCGTGGTCCTGTTCGTGTCCTGGTTCTGACTAGAATTCTCAGTTAGATTGTCTTCTTGTGGTTTGTACGGAGTGACAACCTGACGAGGCAGATGTGGATTTTTCCCACCGAGGAATCCGATGTCCCCAAAGTAGGCTCCGTCCAGACCCACGTGACCTGTGTGTTTTAAGTCACCCTGAGGAGAGGAGATCATGTCTGTTCGGATCTTGCGTCGCTGGGATGAGAAGGCGTTCTTCCCATCGCCACGCGTGAACTCTCCAGGCTTGTTGCTGGGCAAATTCGAGCCCAAATAAGCAATAGTGTGCGCAGGATTGAAGAATCCAGTCTTCCCGTTGTTCAAGACCCCTTTCCACAGGGTGTTGCTGCTCCCTTTGTCCAAAACAGTTATGACATCTCCCTGTCTGTAAACTAGCTGGCTCTCCGCGCTATCCTGAACCGCTTGAACCTGCTCAGGCTTCAAATCGGGCAGCAGGTTGATCAATTCAGAGAACTTGGGTCGTTTCGCGGGCTCGTGTTGCCAGCACTGCTGCATGAGGACGAAGTAATCCTTGGGACAGCACTCCGGCTGCTCCAATCTCTGAAAATTTGGCTCGTCTATCGCCTCGAGTATCTGGTGGCCTGTCAGCGCAGCCCATGGCTGGAATCCGTAGCTGAACATCTCCCACAGAGTCACGCCATAGGCCCACACGTCGCTCGCTGAAGTGAATTTCAAATAGGAAATGCACTCCGGCGCGCACCAAGCAATCGGTAGCTTCAAGTTGACATTGAAGTTCGTCTGGTAATAGTCTTTACCGACGCCTAGAGCACGAGACAATCCAAAGTCGGATATCTTCACCTTGTTCTTCGAGAAGACCAAGATATTCCTCGCAGCCAGGTCTCGATGGATCAGTCTTTTCGCCTCGAGGTACTGCATCCCATCTGCGATCTGCACCGCGAAGTCACAGAGCGACAAGACAGGGAAGCTGGGACGCAGACTGGGCTCTTTCAAACACTCCAGCAGCGAGCGTAGGGGAGCCAGTTCGGTGACCAGCATCAACGAATTGGTATCCAACACTACACCATAGAGTCTAACGATGTGCTCGTGGTCTATCGCGTGCATTATCGCTGCTTCTTTGAGGAACTCGATCGGATTATTCTGCATCCTCTCTCTGGACAGACATTTGATCGCCACTTGGATCCTTTCGCCATCGTTCGTCCAAACGCCTTGCTGTACCACTCCGAACTCCCCCGTTCCCAACTCTTTGTTCACTATTATCGCGTCCGCGGGGATCATGTGCTTGTTCGGAACTCGTATCGGCGGTCTGTCCTGCCTTTCTTCGGGCAGCATGGTCAACGACCCTGAAGTTTGCTCCTCGCGCTTAGGTAGAAGCATCTTTTTAAATTTAGAGAGGTAATTCTGCGGGAAGTGTTTCTGGAAGTACTTTTTCAGACGACGCATTTCTGGTTTGCTCATTCCTATCGCATTTAGGTCTTCCTCTGTTACATACTTCAACTGTGCCGTCGTATGCACCTTCAAATCCCCTGTTGGAAGAAATTAAAGTAAAGTTGCAGATTCAGAGTTCGATTCGGGGAATATGTACCTCGAATGCCAGGATAGTATTGCTGGAGCTCTGCTTCCATCAGGAACTCGTACAAACCAGGGCCAGTGTTGCGGGACATTCCTCCTTGTGTGTCTTTAAGCAACAAGAAATAATTGTTAATTCAACGATGCATTCTACAAGATCAAACAATAAAAAGTGTGCGACTTTTCCCAAAATTTAGAAATACAGAATTACCCGTATGCAAACAGAATTTTCTAAGAATAATTACAACTTTCGCCCAAAGTTGACAGTTAGTCTAAATACCAAAAAAAACTAGTGAAAAGCCTTGAAAAACCACGTTGTTTGAGCACCAAGTGTATTATCGTACCCGATCCCTGAGTGTCATCGGCGTTCATCGGTAATCGTAAGAAATCGAAAACGTAAGAAAGTGGGGAACCAGAAACGAAGAACAGGTCTTGTCTAGAATGGTTCACCGTTGCAAGACACGCCCCGGTCGGGCCTCAAACAGACTATTTATAAAGCATTTGGCTGGGCGTCGCGGCGCTCACCCATTCTACGATGACGCAGCACGGTACGATCCGACCTCCTCTCTTTGTCATGGGACGCGACCGTCTGCTAAATCGCGACAACTTCTCTCTTCGATTACGCACACGCTCCCCTCCGCCATGCAAATTCCTCGCTTCTCTTATTCCCGGGTTTCACATTTTTTCCAACAGCGACGATCAATCGCCTTGACAGGTTATTACACTACGCGCGGGGTGGACGTTTCCAAGATGGGGAACGCGAGAACCGTTCAACGTGCGACAATTCGACGAAAATTCTGTTCCTCGCAGCTCGATAGGACTATCCTATCGCGTACCGTCCGATTTGTTTGCAAGCGCGTCTTTGGGCTGTGGCTGAGTTCCCGGAATTCTCCGCCAGATGGCTGCGCTGTAGATTCTCTAGCTAGTTCGATCTCTTCATCGAACTTCAGGCCCTCTGGAGTTTCGTTACGAAAGCATCCATAGTGAGCGTAAGTACGCTAACCTTGTCGGTCTAGTTCTAATCATATAATCGAAATAGATTGTTGCGATGTAAACTCATTTTATTTTGTGCAAAAATTCGACGTATTCGTGCAATATTTTTTGGCGATATGGGTCTAGAATTAACCGTGAAAAATGTGCTCAATTATTTTCGTTTTGGTTTGTTTGGAAGACCAGTCAATTTAACCTCATTTCGTTTTTGAATATTTTAGTTTCAGAAACGTTCTAGTAGCTCTTAGTTAATTTATCCGATTTTTTATATTTATTAGATCGTTATGAGAAGGCATTTGTGTTAAAAAAGTGCCAAATTTGTACCCCACCGGGCACCTGAAATAATTATAAGTAGTCTACGGATCTTTATGCAAATTCACATTTTTATTAATAGAATCAATGAAACGGAAGCTTCGCAGATGGCTGTCTCAACCCCTAAATATAATAATTAATATCTTACTTTAACTATTTCTTATATTTTTGCATATTAAATGCATTCTGTAGTTTTTTGAGGCATTCTGCAGATTCTGCACTCCGAATTGTGCGCAATTGTTTATAAAAAATGTGATGTGAGCCTGAATAACACTAAATGAGTTTTTGCAGGTTACAAGGAAATTATTAGAGAAGCTAAAGAGCTTTGCCGATAACAGTAATTTCAGCTGTAAATACTAACGCATGCGATTCCATACAATTTCAAATAGACTCTGTGGTATTCCGTCTTTTGTGTTAGTTCGACATGAATTTCACATAGGAAACAAATAATATATAAGGATTCGCAAACAAAAGTACCGATTTCATTAATCTACTCAAACATCCAAACATGGAGTTAACGTTCCGTTCCCAAATTCCAGTTTTCCCTTTAGATTTATCGTGACAGTATCTTTGAAGGTTAAGTTTATCGTTAAGAAGGATTAGCTCTATTTTATTTAGTGAAGCGTGAAATACAATGCTACATACAGTACGAGGCATTGAATTTGCAGCTGTTTTCTTTATTAATAATAGTCCCTCTTGCGTATGTGTTCCTTTCCTTGTTACAAGAATTTCTAAGCATTTGTTTAGAAACTAGAATATCAGTTTTTACAAGAATTTTACTGTAAACATTCCTGAGGCTAAAAATACTATCTTAATGTGCAGAAATACCACAGTTTAACTTTGGTTAGAATTTGAGTCTAAGTTTAAGGTTATGTTTTCTCGAAAAGTTATCGATAATTTCTGTCTTCGTATACGATTAATAATGAAACAAATAATGTTTAAAGCTTTGCAAACAGAGATAGAGGTTTTATTAATTTAGTAAAATATCGAAACACAGAATTAGCATTCCCAAATTCTAGTTTTCTCTTTAGATTTATCATGGGAGTATTTTTGAAGGTTAACTTGACCATTAAGTAGAATTAGCTCTATTTTATTTAATGAAATCGTGAAATCCAATGATACAGTACAAAGCAAAGAATTTACAACAATTTCTGTGCATTTTCTTAAAATACAAGTTTATTAACAATATTTCCCCCTTGTCTATATCCCTTTGTTCAAGAATTTTTATGCATTCGTTTAGAAACTAGAATCTCAGTCTTTAGAAGAATTGCAAACATTTCTGAGGCTAAAAATACCCATCTTAGTCTAACATGCAGATGTACCACAGATTAGGACGTGGGTCCAAATTCTAAGGCTATATTTTTTCATAAAAGGGTCAATAGTTCGTGTTATTTGGTCCCAATAACGAGATCGAAAAGGTATCGGGCAAGTGGCGCCGCCTATCGTCTTCGAAGGGTATCAGTTTTACCGGGAAGAGTGCGGGTAGGTAAGGGAGCGAGTAGGTGGATGGCAGATCGGCGTGGATTCGATGTTAGATGGGGGAGGGTGTAGGGTAGCGAACGAATCAGAGGGGAGCGTGGTGGGGGTAGTGCCGGTCGGTCGAATTGTGAATACACGGTGCCCGTTCTCGGTACTTTGGTACTTCCCATCAGTCGCATCGAGCTACTCGTGGAACGCGCGTCGCGTTGTGCATGCATGCATGCTTGCTTGCGTGCGGTCAGACGTGTGTGCATGTGTGTGATTATTATTGTGGTGTACTCGAAGTGGTCCCTGGTGTGCATGTGTGCGGGCCATAACACGGTGTGTTGCGCGGTCTCGACCAGTGCATGTTCGTGATTACTGTAGCCGTCGTCGTCTCGTCTGTCCATCCGTCGTGATCGCACCAAATGCACGTCTCGCGATACTCGAGATCACGCAGTAACACCAGTCTCCTTCGTACCCGTGACTTTTGACGGCAGGACCGGGGTCCGTTGCACGAAGAGGAAAGGAGAAGCCGCGTCCTCCGTTCCGCGGTTGATGACACACGGAACGATCGTGCCGAATACGCGACAAAGAAAGAGAACCGAGGAATTGAATTGGGCCTCGTTGCTCTCGCCGTTCCGTCGTTTCCTTCGATCAACGATTTGCGGGAACCCCGCCGGTTCGTGTCGCTCGTTTCCCTCCTTTTTTCTTCCCGCGTGCCCGCGACGATCACCGGGATCACCTTTGCCAAAATGAAAATGATACAGAGGTATCGACACGCGATCCTGGCTCCTCTGTCGGTTCTTATCCTGTTATGCGGCTGTTCCGATCTCGTCTCATCCCGATCGACGCGATCCGTCGAACGTCCAGAGAACGATACCGATTGTGAACGCGTCAAGCCATTCTTCGAGAGCAAGAACATCATGATCGCCGCCACGAAGAACACACCCGACGATATCGCCAAAAGTAAGTTATCGTATAATTATAGAAAATATACGAAACGAAAGTCTCGATCACGCTTGGCTTTAGTATAATTATGAAGTTTTGTTTAATAGTCCTCGAGAGCCGTTCCATTAAACGGCACTTAATTTTATTACATCAAATAGCACTTGAGTACTTCTTGTAAAAACCCGTCTCAATGGTCGTGAGACCGATAAATCTTTCTTGTACCGTAGATATATTTCACGGTATGCTTTTAACGGAGATCAGCTGCAACCGTTTATGGAGTACTTTACGATGCACGCTAATTTCTGTAAGGGGTCGAATTACGACGCTGTTACGATGTTATTATTAATTTAGTAGTGTATTCTAAAAATCGTAGATACTTCGCTGTATGTTATTAATTAATACGTTTATGAATTCTTGTAATAGGATTAATCTTAGCCTCCAGAACCTAACCTGAAATATTCACGAACCGAAATTTCGAACGTAGACCAAACTGCGTTCTATCGTTTTTGGTAGAATGAATTTAGTGGTCGATTCAATTACCCTCTAAATGTGATTACGTAATGAACAGTCGCGGGGTAATTTAAAATTCGGTTTAAATTTGATGCAGAATGCTCTGTTCCGCCGGGTTCGTTCGATTCTATCGTCGATTGAGAATTCTGTATCGCGTATCAACTGGTGATTGCGCGTGTAAAGTTACGATACGAAATCAATTTATCGATTAACAATATAAACGAGTGTATCCGACAATAGTCATGATTATTCGCTAAGGGAGAACATTTAAAAATATAGTTTCCTTGCAGTTGTCGCGTCGATACGTGCGTGTGCACCATTTTGAATTTCGGTCAGTAGGGTATTGTTTTCACAGCTGCTTGACCACTTGAGTCGATGAAACATAAACAATGGTGAGGGGTGATACTCTCGCATACAATCGAAGTGAATACTTTAAAATTATTATACTTCGTCGTATTATAAATTCAGAACAAATTTTCGATTTAAAAAAAAAATAAAAATCTGATTTGACTCGATCGTACAAGTTTCGAAGCTATTAAGAATTTCGTTGTTCGCGTGGATTCCCCCGCGAGTTATTTCGAGCTTGTTGACTATTAATTGGCGATGCAATCGGGGGCGATTTACATACGCGGAAAGTTCGCGTACCCGCGATTTTATCGTTCCAAAGGCCGGCGATCGAGTCCTAAACGGTATTATTCGTCGAGATCGATTTCTGGTACGCAATTACCGATCGCGAGAAGGCTAAACGAACAAATGGCATTCTACCGTCTCTCTTCGAACGATCGTATTCTAACCCACTTTACACGACTGTAACCACTCGTCGAATCGAGGGCGAAGGGTCGCTGATGTAGCTTCCGGTTTTATGCACTTCCGTGCGTCAAGTGCTGTACATCACACCTAACGGAGAAAATGGAGAGAGATTGAAGTACAATGACGCTTAATGTTCTTAATTAAAGCGACGAGTGATTCGCTAAGTGACTTCGTCACTTCCTTTTGGCCCCGGGTATAGACGGATAAGATGGTCAAAAGTGACCTTGAGCCAAACTGATCCGTGAACATATCAGTTAATAGACCATTCAAAGAAAACCATTTCTGTCAAATATCAACCCCGTACCCTTACCGAGAGGGTAGTTACAGGGCGTAACGCAATTCTCAGTTTAAGCTGTATATCTTTTGTCGTATCGTATCAAAGATTTTGAAAAAAATTGGGGGTATTTTGCTCCACGGCGTACGTGTTTCTGAATTTTTTCAGAATTTTTCACCGCGAAATGGATTTTTAAAAAATTCGAAAAGTATAAAATTATTTTTTTTTAATAGAAATTATTAAACGACCACGTTTATATTTTTACAGTGTTAGCGTCTTGTTATGATTATTAATCTATAATTTTGTCAGATTTTTAGAAATGGGGGAGCGATGTTGGAAAAATCAAAAACCCATCGAAAGGGTAGTTACAGGGCGTAACGCAATTCTCAGTTTAAGCTGTATATCTTTTGTCGTATCGTATCAAAGATTTTGAAAAAAATTGGGGGTATTTTGCTCCACGGCGTACGTGTTTCTGAATTTTTTCAGAATTTTTCACCGCAGAATGGATTTTTAAAAAATTCGAAAAGTATAAAATTATTTTTTTTTAATAGAAATTATTAAACGACCACGTTTATATTTTTACAGTGTTAGCGTCTTGTTATGATTATTAATCTATAATTTTGTCAGATTTTTAGAAATGGGGGAGCGATGTTGGAAAAATCAAAAACCGACATTTGTAATATATTCGGGTAATTCATCGAATGATCATTATATACATGCTCAAAACAGTTTTACATGTATGAATTAAGAGAATTGCAGCTATTGTTTTATTAGAATTTCTCAGAATATGGCTCATAAAATATTAAGTATTCATTAATGTCATTCATTGATGTCTTTTTCGACATTCCTAAGGTTTTAAGTTTTATATTATCTGATACATGGTAAAACTGTTTTGAGCATGTATATAATGATCATTCGATGAAGTAAAAATATCAATTACCCGAATATATTACTTAAACTTAGGAAATATCGATTTATAATTATTTTGTATGCGATACACCTCCACAAAAAATCTGAAAAAATTATATATTTATAACAGTAACAAGCTATTAAAATTGTAACAATGCGAACATGGTCACAAGAAAAATTAAGGTAAAAATACAAGCAAATGTCGGTTTTTGATTTTTTCCAACATCGCTCCCCCATTTCGAAAAATCTGACAAAATTATAGATTAATAATCATAACAAGACGCTAACACTGTAAAAATATAAACGTGGTCGTTTAATAATTTCTATGAAAAAAAAAATATTTTTATACTTTACGAATTTTTTAAAAATCCATTTCGCGGTGAAAAATTCTGAAAAAATTCACAAACACGTACGCCGTGGAGCAAAATACCCCGAATTTTTTTCAAAATCTTTGATACGATGCAACAAAAGATATACAGCTTAAACTGAAAATTGCGTTACGCAAGAAAACGTATTATAGCTTTCTTATCGGTAAATCAAATTAATAATCGTTACGATGGTTCTCACGCTTCCGGACCATCGTAGGAAATTTAATATTATTTTAAACAGCGAAATAAATTGATCAAAGAAATTTCAGTTACGTTTCGTACGAAATAATACGATTAATGCCTGCGACCGTGGCGATAATATAATATTTCGACAGCGTTATCGAAATCGTTGCGAAAGTATATTTTTATACTCGTCGCGAGGTGCAATTTGTCGTTCTGCTTGTTTGCTTATCCAGATCGCGTTATTTTTTTAGTCAGTGAATACCATTCTCATGATAAAGTTTATCTCTTGTAGAAAAAAAAGAAGTTTTATTCTTCGAGTCTCTCAAACTTTACGATTCTTACAACGAAGAGTTTTATATTCTTTAATTTAATTATAAAAATTATTCGAATATTATTCATTGCGTGTGTAAATTATTAATATTTAGAACCCCCTTCTTTCGTTAATTCAAATTTCACCGCGTCAAGAGTCTCTGTAGTTCAAAGTATCACCGCCAGGGGGAGCTGTGCATACCGAAAGTGGCGGTACAGGCCATTAGCATATTTTACGCGATTTTGTTAATACATCTTAATTATCATTCATTTTGGAAGAAGCTGTCTACTGGCTAAGGTAAAAATTATCTAATTTTGTCATTATTTGTTAATTATCATTTACTTTGGAAGAGTCTGACTACCCGGCACATTTAACCTATGAGTTTCAAAAGTCAAGCCCGGTGACCTTGTACATTCGTGACTGCAGTTTCCATTGAACGTTCCTAACAATGCCATTGATAGCTCTTTATCAGTATCTATTAACCGTATTAGACCTTGCAACGTTTATGTAACAATGGCAGGTGTAGTCGCCTGGCTGCGAGGCGAATGTCTCTTTTTCCGGTCAACGACATTTCGCTAAAAGAATTCGTGCAACGACCCAACACAGACAATTTCCTACGCGGTTATGTTTTCTTTTTTATCGTTCGAGAAGAAAAGATATAAAACGCGACAGTTTATTTTCGATTGACTTCGGTTTACGACGATTAAAGTTGAAGGTAACGTCGTAGTGCGATGGATAAAAGCGCGCGCAAACTTATGGTCTCGAGCTGACAAGTGTGTCGAAGTTATTACAGTGTTTCGAAGTGCTTTTATCGCTATTTTATTTCTCGCGTCAAGTGCCGCCGTTTCGTATTGTCGAGGGCGACGCCAGCGCTCGGATACTCGACGGTATCCACGGGTAAACAAATTATGCCCTCGGTGACGCAATACATTTGGCAAAATGGGGCACGCGTACAAGATTCGAGGACAGACTATCGGTCGCCGGGTAGGAAGAGATGAAAAAGTAGAATGAGGCCAAAAGGACCAATTGAAACCAGCCAGGACATCTTGAGGGTCCCGTTAGCCTCGTTCTATTTCTCCATTCATGACCTCCGCGGCACACACGCGAGACTCTATCGTATTTTATCGAGCAATCGTCGTACGTAATTGCACGAGGCGGCCGGACGCTAGATGTCCTCCTTAAGTTTTCGTGTTACGGTTAAATTCGGCGCTAGTAAAGACGGTATCGCGATTATGTTTAGGTTAGGTTGTAAAACAGCCCCTCTTCGACGAACCGAGTCACGCGATACGATGACTCAAACTGACTCGTAAGGTATTCCTTTCACGAAACGAAATTTAACAGGTTAGGTTCGACCGTAAATTAAAAATATTTCTTCATTATTTCAGCAACCTGCAATGGATTGTGCTGTAACAAAAAGACTGAAGACCAGTTGAGACATCAAGCCAGAACAGATTTCCACGATCTGATCCACCATCACAGCAGAAGCCTGCAAGGTCTCCTGGCGACAACCGCCGATGCACTAAGGGGTAAGCGAGACAGTAAATCTAAAAATTCCCATATCCAAATAGCAATAACATTCTCATGGAAATTTCGTCATCTGTGCCCGCGCGTGGCGTCCATTTTGTTCTGGTTTATAGGTTAACTCATGGGACCCCGTCTCTTCTGATCCTACTTCGTCGTGTGTTGTATTATCGTAGGGCCGTAAAGTTGCTCTGATCGTAGGGCGAATAAGGTCGACGTAGTACGTCCAAGATTAGGATCCTAAAATGTTTCCTGGTGATTCGTCGTGTGACGTGGATTCCGCAGATAAAAACGTCCTTACTGGGCTGGTCTGGGATGAACTGTAACGTATTTCGCCGTTTTCCCGTGGGCGGGACAAGCGGCAGGCTCGCCTAAATAGTTTATGGCACTGGGGGCCCCCTCTTTCCCCCTGAAGCGGGGTCGTTCCTAGCCGCTGGGCTTCTCGCGTTGTCTGAAACGACTGATCCTGATCCTCTATTTGACCACAGACTCGTGATTAAGATCAGGCTTCTTGCACCACCTTGGCATAATAACGGGTTGACAATCTGTGAAATTGTTGGTCTGCTAGCAGAGCCCTAACTGTAACCTAGTTAGCCAAATCTGGTCACAGGAACCTATAATAATCCAGAAGAGAACACCCAAGTTTGTCTAACTGGGAAAGGCAAAAGTTTCTATTTATAATATGTAGTAATCTCAAGATTTATAAATGTGTCTTTAATCAGCAAAGAACCCAAAGTGACGGGTTGACAATCTGTGAAATTGTTGGTCTGCTAGCACAGGAACCTATAATAATTCATAAGAGAACAACACCCAAGTTTATCTAACTAAAAAGATTCATAAATGTGTCTTTAATCAGCAAAGCACCCAAGATGGCCTCCACAAGCTTCAGAAGTGGTTCTTGTTAAATAAATTGTCCCTCAATCTAGCTAAGTATCATGTTCTTAGATTTAGTAATAGAAAAAGTAACATTGCTTCTAATTACTTTGGTATTACTTTCTCTTCTAACTTATCTTTCAAAGTACATTATGGAAAAGTTATTTCCAGTAGTCTCAACTCTCTAGAACTTATTCATAGTGGTTCCAATACTCTCAAAGTTCTCTATTGTGCTTTGACAAGACCTATTCTGAAATGTAGCAGTATAATTTAGTCTCCTTACTATAAAATATGTATCAATAACATTCAAAGTGTGCAACACATATTTCTTTGTCTTCTTACTAGGCACTAATCTTCAAATATTGATGTTATCTTTCTAAGCAAACCAATCAAAAGTCATATTTCATGTCCAACAATTATCCAATCATTTCTATTCATTCTATTCTATTCTGTGATCCATCATACATCATTTGCATCTTAAAATTGTATAAATAGAATTGCTCATGCAAAAACAGATATAAAATTATTCAAAAGTATTATCTATATTTACATATTAAATCTTTTATACTAAAGAATTTCTCTTTCCATTAAAAATAAAAATAAAATTGTAAAAAGCATGCCATCAGTAAAGAATTATTTATTGACAAGAATGAGTTTAAAATTTGTTGGTTTTTGGTTCTGGTTGGGATTACATTTAACGAATTTTGGAAATCACTGTTATATATTGCACGGCAGCTCGAATTCCATCGACATCCTATTAAAACCGTTCCCATAATTCGCGAAACTTTCGAGCAATTTTATTTTCCAGTTTTGCGTGGTAGTTTGAATGGAAATTCGGGTGAATCGTTCGACTTGAAATGCACGTTGAACGGTTTCGAATGGATCGGAGGACGTATTTTTTTTGCGCCGGAAAGTTTTTCCCAGCGCTTTTCAGTTGTCGCTTTTGAAAGTCTCTTCTTCGCTCCATCCATCTCCCTTCGCTGTGTTACATCTTTCAATGCAATCTGCTCGGTGTATATTGATGCCCCGCTATGACTACATTCTGACGACCAAGCGAATTTATCAAACATTTCCAAGCATTTTCGTGAATGGTATAGTCCGCGTCAAAACGCGTGCGCGACTTTTAAACCGGTTTGATTCGAGCTCCTTACGGGATTCCCCGTCATTTACGTTTGTCAGTTTGCAGAAGTACCTCGGCGCATGTAAGTAGATTTGTATATTTTCGGAATTTATGGTGTTTATGCGTAGATAACGTCACGTGTTTAGGAGACGTTTACGATAAGGTAGACAGAGTCATTCAACCTGTCTCGGAGCGAAGGCGAACTAATGTAGCGAGAGACGCGTTTGAGGTTAGGACTGCACGAACTACAACGCGTCCGCCATTTGTGAAAGTTTGCACCATTTATAACCTCTAAAATTTAAAGATAATTGAATTAAAATACAAAACGCTTTATAAATTAGAATTTTAGTGTTCAAAAAAGCAAATATGATTTCTGGAATAAGGTTAGGACTACAATGGCGTCCAAAGTAGTGTACAAAATGGCCGTTTGTAAGTTTGCACCATTTATAACCTCTAACATCTAAAGATAATTGAATTAAGATATAAAACGCTTTATAAATCACAGAATTTTTAATTTTGAACCATTCAAATATGATTAAGCGAGCGTTTTATGTTTTCTGTATCCCCGTAGCTGGATGGTTGCATGATTTCAGGGGAATTTAAAGGTTTTGAAGCCTGGTTAGCGGGAAAGGTACGGTTAAATAGGAATCCAGCTCTCGATAACCAACACTCCCCTAACCCGTAGCGTTGGCGGTGGTTTTTCTATCCTTTTCTTCCCATTTCTTAGTCCGCCCTGGGCTTTCTCGTTTCCCTCTTTTATTCTCTCTTCTTTCCAGACACGTACAGCCGCGTTGCAGCTTTCGAAGTTTTTATTTCTTCCATCCACCCCCCTTCCGTTTTTACCGTTCCTTCCACGGCTACCTTTCTTTACTTCTCTTATTTCCATTTTCAACCCCTTTTTTTCTCCTCCTCCACCCCCCACTGTCTCCTCTACCCTTTCGCTCGATTCGTTTCTTGATATGACGTAAAAACGGTACGGGATCTCTGCTCGAGTTTCACGAAATGGTCTCGGTAAACGACTGGACCAAGGTAAATTTAAATTCGCGTGCAGGGGGTAGTAAAATAGCGAAGCTGATTTTTAAAGTTGCATGTATGCAGTTGGCGACACTCGGAGAATTGTTAAATTAGTGTGATTTTTTTAGAAATTAATTTTAAAATCTTTGTTATTTACCAACCCGTAGACGGCCATTGTCACGCCTACGTGAGTTCACTATTTCGAGTCGTTACGTCGGTATATTGTGTTTGTTCATTGTTTTTTCTTGTAAGATGTTAAATTTAAACAGTATCTCGAGAGTTTCAATCGAGAAAATCCAACAAAATAATGAAAATCGAAAAAGAAAATTAAAGTATGAAAAATAGGGGCTTTCAATTCTGGCGAAATTCTAGCGTAATTTTTCTCCAAATTAATGTATTCTATTTTCCAAACCTTAATTATTTACCAACCCTTAGACGGCCATTGTCACGCGTGCGTGAGTTCACTATTTCTAGTCGCCATATTGGTATATCATGTTTGTTCACTGTTTTTTCTTGCAAGATGTAATATTTAAACACTATCCCAAGAGTTTCAATCGAGAAAATCCAACAAAATAATGAAAATCGAAAAAGAAAATTAAGGTATGAAAAATAGGGGTTCTTAATTCTGGCGAAATTCTAGCGTAATTTTTCTCCCAATTAATGTATTCTATTTTCCAAACCTTAATTATTTACCAACCCCTAGACGGCCATTGTCACGCGTGCGTGAGTTCACTATTTCTAGTCGCCATATTGGTATATCATCTTTGTTCACTGTTTTTTCTTGCAAGATGTAATATTTAAACACTATCCCGAGAATTTCGATCGAGAAAATCGAAGAAGTAAAAGGATCGAAAGCAAAGTATGAAAAACAAAGTGAAAAATCGGGGGCTTCTAATTCCGTCGAAGTTCTCGCGTAGATTCTCCCTTTTGGCGTTCCAGTACAGGAATAGAAAAGCTTTGCGAACCCAAAGGCGATCTATTATATTTAGCCCTGTTCGCCATTGTCTCTAGAATTCCAACTATAAAACCGAACTAATTCAAACAAAATATATTTAATATTCCCTAAAGGCGTTTGAATAAAATATTTCGTAAACGCGATTGTGTTGGTATTTATATTCGTCAGTGTGTATGGGTTGGTGAATATCTGGTCTTGTTTGATGTCCAGGACCAGGTTCCACGGTTCGAATCGGTGTGAGGGGGCAAGGGGGGGAGGAGAGCTTGCTTTCTCGTATCCGTATAAGGCTGTGCGTGCATTGCAATTTGTAATACTGTTTGATGCTCTCTGGAAAGTGCAGCTTGCACGAAACCTCCGGGCCACGAATTCGAAACTGGTCGCTCCATTCGACCACGAAATGTGCTAGCGGTAATTATCGCGAGGTTGTTTTGCCCTGTGGCCGTATATCTGGCCTGCAACGCGGATACCACGGCGATACGATAATACCTTCCTAGGTATTATTCAATTAACGGGTCTCTCCAAACACCAGGCCGCTTTTCTTCCTTAAGGAGGTCTTCCGGTGTTAAGGAATTTTTTCTGAATAAACTATCAGACCTTTTGCGGTCAAATTTGGAGGGTTTATTCGTAGATATTGGAGTGATATTTCATAATTTTTTGGAAGGAATTGAGTTAAAATTGGTGGCACAGTGGACCCTCAAACATGGTCAAACAGAGTCACTTTTAAAAGAGGTCTGGGTTAGGTTTGGGTTTAGTTATATATATTTTAGTTAAAAACTTGAAATTTATGGCTCTGTATGCTTCTAATATAGTCAAATATAGTCAGAAGTAGTCAAACAGAGTCAAACAGAGTCAAACAGAGTCAAATAGAGTCAAACAGAGCCAAATAGAGTCAAACAGAGACAAACAGAGTCACTTTTAAAAGAGATCTGGGTTTATTTATGCATATTTCAGTTAAAAGTGGAAATTGATGACTCTGCATACTTTCAAACTTAGTCAAACATAGTCAAACAGAGTCAAACTGAGTCAGAGTCAAACAGAGTCAA